TTTGTTAAAAAACTGATTCTGACTGAGATTTTGACACTTAAACAAACATATCTCAGCCTAACCGAACGACCGCATTGTGCGAGATGCGAAGTACAAAAACTTATCTCATTAGAGAGGGCGCACTTTATTGACTGTATAAAGTATAAATAAAAGCGAGAGTATTCCAGTGGATGCGATCTACAACCTCTGAATTTGCCTAGTAACGATGAATTCGTCGAGAAAATGGTAATATTTTATGAGAAATAGTCTGTATTTCTCATTTTTTTATTCTTTTGCGTAAAACTAAAATTCATGCCAATATTTTTCCATGATTTATAAAAATTGGAGTAATGCAAATGCATATTTTCTAAAAAAAGTCAGTTTTTAGTGAAATTTTGCCGGGAATGGGGCTTTAAGCTGGTCAATTACTGCCCGTACGACGGTCATACGACCGACAAATCAAACTCTGCTCTAAGTGAGCACTCCATGACGCGATGCTGTCTGCTGATTGTCGATGGTAGTCTCAATGGATCGTCATTAAAAACCATCCATTGCGTCTACGTTGTAGCATTGCATTCTCCGTAAAGTCGTGTCTGCCGATGACTGTCAGGCACAATAACTGCTGGCTTTAGAATTGTAAAACATATATAAAATGTTTTTTTACCTCAGAGCCTGGCTTTAAAAGTTTATTATTTTGCCACTTTCAATTAATATATATAATATTGTACACATACCGACGCCTGTCATGTTTACCAGCATGCCTTGCTCAACTGTCTCATGGATCAGAAGCAGTGTCTGCTCATAGATCTCGGCTGCCCTCGCAATGTTCAGTGCTTCATCAGATGGAAATCGAAACAAGGTCAAAAGATCACTTGGAGACCGTGGCTTAGATGTGTCAAACAGAAGCTTTCTGGTTTCGTTAATGCGCTTGTCAACGTTATCAACAGCAATCTGAATTGATGAATTAACAAACTGATCACCCTCACTTATACTGTTACTAGCAACTGTGAATTAAAGAAAACATTTTAGTCATTATTCTGTACAATATTTGGAATGTTTCATGAAGACATAAGGATGTCTTCATGTAAATGTAGAGAAAAGCAGCTACAGATAAGACCATTTGAAAAGCAACAGCCAGTGATAAGTGCAATTAAGCAGCAACCAGGGATAAGGCAAATTATGAAGGTAAACAGGGATAAGCAACTGGGGAGAGAAGCAGTCAGGGGATGAGGGTAATTGGGAAAAAACAGTAACAGTTGTTATGAAGAATTAAAACTTACCAACTTTGAGTTCCATGGATGTGGATGCATACCCAATACTATTCCTAGCTGCACAATCATATCGACCTTCGTCAACTAGACCAACATCCCTAATTAGCAGCCTTCTGTTATTTATAATGACAAACTTGGCAGAGGGGGTGATCTGCACACCATCTTTACTCCATGTGATTACTGGGTTTGGCTCCCCTTGGGCACTGCAAAGTATCTCAACTGTTGCCCCGGTTATGATGGTGAGGTCGGAGGGCGTGACAGTGAAAGTAGGTGGGACTAAAAAAATTTTAAAAAATTAGCGATCACTCATAATTATCAATTTTCTGTTTTTTTATTTATTATAATCATGTTTCAATAAACTGATTAATTATTATAAAAATATTGAAATAATAATTAACAAATAAAATTACAAATTACTTACTATCATTCCCTTAGTAAGGTTTATCAGGCAATGTATGATTAATATTGTTTGCATCATATCATTATGTACTGTATGCATTTAATATGTTATTTCAATAACATAATCAATGAATCAATCACCAAGCCCTTTATAAAAAAAAAACAAAATGATGCTCTCTATAAAAAAAAAAACCAAAATGATGCTCACTTCTTGGTCGGACTTCAAGTTGAGCTGTAGCTTGGTTTGCCCCAGCATCATTGAATGCTTGACATTCATAGTTGCCCTCATCTGCCCTGGTTGCCCGTACAATCCTCAGAGTCCCCGATGATAGGACCACATGTCGACGATCATCTGGTAATTGTAAACCTGATGGTATAAATAGATTTTTAAGAAGTTTAGTTGATGGAAGACAAAATATTAAGAATATGAAAGTTTCCACATCAATGCACTTACCGTACTCGCACAAATAAGTGCACCGTTTGAATAAACATGAAAATGTTCTTTAAAGTGCCCTGTTTCAATAAACCACCCCCCCCCCCCATTTTGAATAAGTTCCCCTCAACAATATCATGTGATTTTTTTTTTTAGCAAGCCAATAATGTAATCAATCCTGGGACTGTGGTTGGGATGAATTGGGGCGGAGGAGTGGATTCACATTTTCTTCTTATGTCAATTTCATCTGGACAGTTGAGAACTCTCTGGACAGTATCTTTCTAACTTTGCTCTTTTTATTTGTCCAGTGCTATTTCTCTTTTTCTTTTCCTGACAAATTGCACCTTTAGCATGTTCTCATCTAAATTTGCAAGAAACTCTGCAATGATACTGCTAATCTCATTCAGCAGATGGCCAACAAGCTTACCACCTCCACCACCAATTTCATCTGGTGTTGTGTAAATATTTACTCATAGCATGTAATTGTCATGTGCAATGCTTTCTGGATGATTATCTTTCTGCACCAGAACCATTTGTTTATCTTCGGTTATCAGATGTCCTTATATAATCTTATTTTCATTCAAAAAGCACCCCATTGAATTTTCTAAGGTCCCTTAAGAACCTTCTCAATTTTCATCTATTCCGTAAGTGCTCCCTCGATTTCCACTGTTTCATAAGCGCCCTGGTTGAATGAGTGCCCTCAAAAAGTGCAAAAAATTATTTTAATATATCAATAATAACAGTGCTTGAATGTTAATAATTGTGCAATAATCAAATCAAATTTCTTCTTCAATTGTATGAAGAAGTCTATACCTATTATAATTTGCCAATAATCAGAGAACTAGACCCCCTTCAGAATACAATATTTTCATTGTAATGGTTAAGGACTATAAATTGTTGTAATTATTATTATTATTATTATAATATAACTTTATTAAAAACCGAAATGTACTCTCAATTTCTGGTCTTGTATCATGATGAAATATAAATAAAAATTGTTTCTTATAATTAACATAAATAACAATTATTTTCTTTTAAAAATAACATTAAAATGAGACAAAAGTTTCATAACATAAGCACACGTGCAAAAAATCACATACTTAAACCACAAAGTACAAGTTTCTTGCAATTAAATACCACTTTTTGGGACTTGAGTTGTCATGGTCTTTAGCAACTTTTGTCTATTAATAAAAATAATGATTGTAGACAAAACTATACTATTACCATATAATTTTACCATACCTCGTTTTCTCCATGCAATAACAGGTGATGGGTTGCCCTCAGCGGTGCAATGAAATTCTACTGTGCTTCCCTCAATTGTTGCTTGGAATTCAGGTCGTTGAATGAAAGAGGGGGGTACTGAAAAATTAAATTAAAAAATAACTGTCTACTTGCATATAAAATAACCGATTTTTAAGGTTACAGTAGTTTTAAAATTATTAATTCTTTTTTTAGAACATTATATATTAGAACAATGTAAAATACTTAAATTACGGAATGAAGGATGTTACAAATGCCTTCCGCACAAAACAGACAGAACTTGGTCTGTATGAACAATGCAACAATGTAAAGGAAAGGGACTGTTAAGCCCGGCACTCATTGCGTCGTACGACGGCTGCCGCACGACGAATCCACCTCTGCTTCCGGCAAGCGGTAGACAATTTAACGCCCTTTTGCTAATTGTCAGTGGCAGTCTGAACAGATCCTCATTAAAAAATGGTCTGTTGGTTCCGCGCCGCCGTGTGCGTTCGTCATCGTGTTGCCGTTGCGTCACCGCGCAGTGAGTACCCGGCTTTAGTGTTAATGTGAATCAGGATTAAATTATTGTAAATATCGTAAATGTTATTATTATTATTATTATTACTATTATTATTATTACTATTGCTATAATGATGATTTCTTTGTCATTACACCAAATATTGACCACAGATTTTTTTTACACCATTAGCAATATTTATATTATTACCATAAACAGTGAGAACAACATTGGTGGAAATGACCCCCTCTTGGTTAGTAGCGGAGCACTGGTAGACGCCACGGTCCTCAAAGTGAACAGAAGTGATGTGCAGTGAGCCAGATGAGAGAAGCGTGAATCGATTGTCATCCAACACATCCTGGTCATTCTTAGTCCATTTAATGTCAGGCCGCGGGTACCCATTAGCTGAGCACTGGATCTCAACATTGTGTCCGGCTAGTACGTTAATATTATCTGGTTTTTGAACAAACTGTGGGGCTTCTGATATTGAATGAAATAGAGAAAGGCAAGGTTAATTAGACAAAATCAAACAAAAGAGATATTTTGGAGTAAAATGATGGCTAAGTTTTTTTTAAATTTATGAGCATATACACTCATTGCTGATTGGGAATGATGGCCACATTCATTCTCATTTCAAAATAGACCAAGACTAAAATGTGACTTGTTTAATTGTGATCATGGCTTACTTCAAAAGTGAATTCTATTTTGTTCTTGTTACTGTAATATATATATCTGAAAGAGAATCCTTTACTTTCCCAAAATATTTCAGTGCAAATTCTCATTGTTTTATTCAACTGTGAATATTATTTATTTCTTAATCATTGTATTTCTAGGCTTATTAATCAATTGATTATTTGACTGATCCACCTCCATAGTTCTCCAAAACAGTAGATTACAAATTATTGATTGATCTCCATGGATGATTAATTGAATGATTTTTAGAAGGTGCACCTACTTGGCTCTCCAAAGTAACGCAGACTAGCCGTTCTTGTGACTGCTTCTCCGACTGCATTGCGTGCCATGCATTCATAATCGCCTTCATCATCACCGGAAGCATCAAGGATCATTAAGGTTCCATCAGTAAGAATTGAGTACTTTGGATCCGGCTGTTGGTCAACTGACGTGTCTATTTCCACACTTCAAAATTATATTAAAAATAGAATTAATAATATTTATATACAAGTTCGAAGGTGGTATAAAAAAGTACACTGTCAGCTGAAACTAAAATTAATTATTTTAGTTTTAAACCAAATCAAATTCCATTTAACACGGTAATGAAGCATTTGTGACTGACAGCAACATCGCTACAATAATAAATCATAATAACCTTAATGATTAAGACTATGCATCTATGCACTATTTTATGGTGGTCCTTAGTGTAAAGAGAAACAACCAAACAAAATTGTACAACTATAAAAACACACACAATCATCAATTTGCTAGTAAATTAATAAACAACAGCAAAAACAACCACAACACTAATGCTACTTAGACAGGCACAGAATAATTTTTGATCACAAAATACTATAATCACTTTATTTATATATCTAAATTCAACAGCTCAGTTTTAACTGCCAATTGAAATGAGTAAGCTATTTAACTGAACTCCAGTATTATCGCTCATTACCATACGACTTTATGACTGCATGTTGTAATGTGGTTTATATGGTATTACTATCAAGTTTTTTTAGCTATATTCATAGTTTCTAAACTTATAAATTATTGCAAAACATGTATAATCATATCAAAACATGGTGATTCATGCATAAGAGTGAAGAGAGAACGGCATGGGACAAAGTGTTGTGTAATATGTAAAACATGTGGAATAAATTTGTAGGTTTCTTGGTACTCTTGTATTAACAATGGAGAAAAAATAATACCCAAAATTGACCATCGCATCCCTGGCTATGTGAACTGTATACTAACTCTGTAATTTTACCCTCAGAGCTTGGAATGGCTAATGCAGACAGACGATCACTGTTAAATATTTATGAAGTTTAGTAAATAAATTCATACAATATGGTATTATATTGGTAAAGCAGTGAAAGTTTGCTACTTTCACTTCAAACCATGCTGCATTTGTGTACTATAGAACTTTAAGAAGTCTATATAAATTAATGTACTTTTTTGCATTTGTTAAACTTCAATTATCAACAGTATTAATGTAATCTGTAAGCCTGTTACATATCTGTATGTCTCTGATTAAGCAAATATTTAGGCATAGAAAGTAAACATTAAAATGTTGACATACAACATCAGTGACCCTTGTACATAACAAACGAAAGTACAGTACTAAAAGTACAGCAGACTTAGTCCCAAGGCAGGATATAGCCACCAACATTCAAAATATCAGTTCATCATATTTGTTTACTATACTGAAGTACTGTATTATAATATACTGCATTGTAATGTACTGTATTGTGGCAAATTGATGTAAGCAGTTGAATAGGTTGAGGCTATTCATGTAAACATATTATAAACTATTTCATCTCTTACTGTAATAGTAGAAAGAAAACAAGAAAATCAGACCTCTTATTGTTAAAATTTGGTTGTCAATTATAAATGAGGATTCTTCCCTCCCTCCCTCTATTATTTACAGTGCTTGTTAATGGTACAGTATGTTTCATTAGTATGGTTTGTACTTATATTTTGTATTCTAATTCTAAAACCTAGCAATGATTTTAAAGGGAAGGCAATATTAAAATCCAAATGTCTTTTTGTTTAAAATTTACAATTATGTCTTAATGAATGGTTTAAAGGAAAAGAAGCTCTCTTTTTACATTAGAATAACACAATGCATCATATATATATATGGCAACCAGAAAAAAAAACTACATAATTTATTCACTGACGTAAAGTTCAATAGTATTATTATAGACAACAAAGCATGTTGTTGGAGGTCGTACGTATTTATACACACTAAAAAAAAAATTATTGAATAGAGATATGCGATAATGCTTGTGCAAGGCCCCATAAAAAAAAAACTATTAGTTTATGGGGCCTAATAAACCTATTTCAAGTATATTTTGACTACAAAATCTGACTATTGGTAGCAGTCTCACTTAAGTATAATTCAAATCTATTTTAAAATGTGAACAATAAAACATCACAACTTTTTGTCACATAAAATTTGATAGTGTGGACTAAGCTTAAGAGCATACATTACAGCCAATTTAAAGATGGAGGATTCAGGATGTTTATCTTTTCTACAAACACAGAAGGATGCATATTGGCTTATTTAATTTTGATTTGAACTCTACAAGATGATAAAAACAAACAGACAGGCTCATACTTATACATAGAAGATGTGAACTCCCTAAGAGTAAGAACTAAATGCTAAACTTTTTAAAGCTTTATGAATACTGTAAATGCTTGAATAAGTGCCAAAAAAGTTTGCCAACTAGTCGTGTCTTCAGTACAATTTCTCAGAAGATCAACAGCAGCTTTTCATGGTATGGTCTTGCATGGGCAGCAGAAAGCAAATAACACACATAAGAAATCCTGGCATTTTTCTCTATTCAACATCATATAAATCAGTTGTTAGGTAAGCCTTAATCTGTCTTGCTGTCTCCATTCTCAATATCATTTTTAAATTGCATTTTATTTGGTGGTTCAGAATCACTTGGCATCTGAACAAGAGTGTAGCATGCAAGTTTTGAACAAGCACTGCACTGAAGCCTCCAAAAATTTGTGCACTTACGGTACTTATGCAGAGGTTAAATCTATCATCAAGATTAAAATGCTGTGTAAAGCATGGTTTCTATACAATTGCAACACGCTATCGGGGACATCTTTAGGTGATGCAGATTGGTCGGTCAAATCAGGGAGCTTTCCAGATTGCATTGGAGACTGCTATACAACGATTGCACTGAAAACACTGTCGCAACAGTGTAGCGATTACAAGGAAACCTGGCATTATAGGTGCTAAGCAAATGTTACAATCACAACAAAATTATAGGATGTATTTACTTTAATAAATAAAGTTTTCTTAAATACCGATTATAAAGTACTTTCTGTAAGACTATTCTTCCTCAACCCCTGATCTCATAAGCTTAGGAAAGCTCAGTCAATAAGCTCATTTCTTAGCTCATTCACTCCTCATTTGTTGATCGCCAAGTGTCACTTGGTGACAAGTGGACATATAAAACTTTAGCTAATTTGCTAAGCTGTTCATATTCTGATGAAATTGGTTATTTAATTTAATTGGTTTCACTACTCGCTGGCATTTAAATGGTGCTAATGAACTCCCGCAATGGTAGCCCCCAAAAAATAATCAAATTGTGGGTGGATGAGATGTTATTTTTTTTTTCTTGCCTTCCAATCCCAGGATTCTGGGTTAAAATCCTATGACACAAATGTTTTTCTCATGACTAATAAGCGAGCAGGAGTAACCCTTGATAATATGGTTTGAAAAAAATGAAAAGAAAAAGATATAAATACGCTTTCTGTTATAAAATTTAAAAAAATGAAAATTATAAAAATATAATACAGATTATTAATATAGTAGCAATTCTAAAGGAAATATTATGAAAACAGTCAGAAAATAGAACTATGTTTTAGGTTTCAATAGAATGTCTGGATGTAAACAGTTTTGCGAGCACCTTTGATCAACTGTATAATAATGTGTTTATTACACTTTATTTCCTGTGTTCCAAACTTAAAATGGCAACAGGTGTGGGGTCACCTGAGGTCAAGGAATGTCAGTTGTTTAATAATAGTGCAAAGTTTAACATGGGAAATGAAAACGTTTCTCAGAATGTCAATCTTTGATCCCAAAGGACTTGCATTAATTCAAAAAATGTCTTTAACGAATGTATTAATTACGGAATTTTAAAAACAAATTTTTAGTTTGGGAATCATGGATTAACAGGGGAAATGTAATAGCTACATGTTTCTCACCTTGACTTTTTAAAAAATAGAATGAGGTCACTTTAAACATTATTTTCTTTTCAAAAAAAAAATTAATTTTCTAAAAATAAGATTTAAATGATGTTAGTATACTTTCCCGTAAAGACCGTAACATATTTTAATTGATAAAAAAATTAAAGTCACATTAACAGGTGAGATAGACTAATAAGTACACTGCATTATATGAAGATTACTGGCTCAGTGTGGTAATTGCTATGTGCCAGTTTCAGTTATAGGGGATCAAACTGTTAAACTGAAATTTATTTCACATGATTGATAGAAAAGAAAATTGTCCAATTTTCCTATTGATAGAGTGTAATGGAGTTACACTTGATATTGTCATACTGTATATTTCGGCCTACTTTCTAACTGCTAAAAAAATGAATTACTCCAAGCTTTTTTTTTCATCACTGTCATACTATCAAGCACATAGAGAAAGAAAACATTATACTCAGTACAATACAAAAAAGACTATTATACTGAGTATATATGACAGGAGATAAGATACAGCATAGTTTATTTATTTTATAAGATTTATATAGCGTTCATATCCATTTTCGAAGAACTGCTCATGTAGGTCAACCTGCTACGTGATCATGTTTACTTACTTGTTACGGAGCCAAGTGATCTTCGGTTCTGGATCTCCGGCTGCACGACAAGTGAAGTAAACACTGTTGCCCTGAGTTACGTCAACATCAGTGGGTTCTAGGACAAAATGCGGTTTCTCTAAAAATAAAATCAATAAAAATTAAAAAAAATTAAACTGCTATCTCTTGGTACTTATTCAATCAAAACTGAATTGAAAAAAAAAATAAGTAAAAATAAATAATATATTTTCAATACATTAGAAATTGCAAAAATACTCTTATAATGTATAAAAAATATACCAATGAAAGGCTCACAATACAGATAAAATATCATTAAAATCATTATAATGTATAAAAAATATACCAATGAAAGGCTCACAATACAGATAGAAAGAATATCATTAAAATCATTATTATCTGTTGTTATGTATTTTCTACCACTATAATAATATTATAAATATAAATATAATAATATATATTATATTTATATAAATATAAATATAATAATATATTTTCAAGACATTAGAAATTGCAAAAATACTCTTATAATGTATAAAAAATATACCAATGAAAGGCTCACAATACAGATAGAATATCGATAAAATCATTATTATCTGTTGTTATGTATTTTCTACCACATTATAAATATTATTAATAATAAACCAATAATATTAATAACTATATAAACAATGACAAAATTATAATAATGAAAATATTATTTATTTCTAGATTTGGATTGGAAGAATGATGCCCCTCATAATATTCCATTAACAAAATACACTCTTTATTGACTATATTTTAAAGTAAAGTCCCATATATAAAATTATATAAACAAACTAAAAAAAAAAGAAAAAAATTAGAGATTCAAGCCATCATGATTCTATATTCCAAACTTTATTAGTTCAGAATTTTATACATTCTGGACACAAACGAATAAATTTCGGAATATTGACCCACAATCACTTTTTTTCTGTGTTTGTTTAATACATTCTTATGTCTTATTGATGAATCCCATGTACACTTAACATACAGTACTCTCTTATAACGGCTGTGCATTTCAAGTAAATTGTAACAAATTACAGTTATGTTATTTGAAAGTGAAAAAACAGCTTGGGACCTCTGATATGTTTAAGTCACAGATTAAAAAGCCACAGGTTCTTTGAATTGTACTAAACAACACAAGTACATTTCAACACATTGTCATAAATGTCATCGTGAATATTTGTGAGGTCTCACCACGAAATGAGACACATCGTTGGTGGAAATCATATTGAGATATTCACCAAAATAGGTCAAAGGCAACATTTTTACAAAATTTTGATTTTAATGTTTTTGAATAACTTGATACTTATATTTTATGATTGTGTACTTTTTAAGTGAATTTTCTTACTAAAACAGTGTTCTCTTCGCATATTCTCTAATTCTACTCCTATTATTTGTACAGGTTAGTTTATCTTTGAGGCCGATTTTCTCAAAACCTGGTTCTCATACACCTAAACTTTAAATGCTAACATCTCTGGATCTACAGTATTTATCCTAGTAAAGCCATTCAAAGACCAAATCAAAGCTTATAATGTGATCTACCAAAATGTAATATTAACTCATTTTTTTGATTTTCTAACGATGAGACTTATTTTGTAGTGAGACCTCACATTTGAAGTCAACTAAGTTGTCAGCTCCCTGAGAGGTAAACTAGAATATCACTCTCAGTATTTTAATCTACATTTCTCCTTCTTCACAAAATTAGTTTCCAAAGGTCAACATTATAACATAAACAACTGTTTATGACATGATATATGATGGGTGGGTAAAACAGATGAAGCATACAGTATATGAAAAAGAATTTGATGTAATATGGTATTAGGAATGTTTAATCCTTGTATTAATCTACCCATCATTGCAGAGTAGAGAATTGTATTCAGAACAAATACAATTCAATTCCATGTCATATTATAAAACAATTACTTTTTCACATTAATATATGATGGCCTTTAAATTAAAAAAAAGTAGATGAAAAAGGCAAATCAAGGTGATAAAATGAAGTAGTATATAGAAGAAAAATGATTATAAAAGAACCTGAAATAGACTATAAAATCTAAAAACCAACAGGATGGAAAACCAACACCACTACTAGTACTACCCAGAACCACCAGGACATGGAGAACCAACCCCACCACTAACCAGTACCACCGAGTAACAGAATTAATTTCACCAATTAAACTACCACCAGGATAATATAATTAACACAAACCAACCCTAAGCCAGGACCTTCAGAACACAGAACCAATATCACCATTAGGACCACTGAACAGAGAATCAATTTTAAACACCCTAGCTAGGTCTTTCAGAAATAGAAACCTACAAAGACTACCAAGACATACAACCAACACCAACTAGTAAAAAACAACACCATTGCAAATGATCTGTACTTTCAGTTTGAGGTACAAACAGAAAGTGCATGACCCCACAGCAATAATGTTGAGGCTTCCCACAATGGTTTTCAGATACAAAATTGGTACAGATGGACACAACATGTTGACTGCAGTACAAAACTGTCAGTTCTAAAAACTAAATGGACAGTGGGTAAACCTGTATTGGTCAATGGTTGATAAACAGACTGCACATTAGGTCAACATAATTTGCTGGGCACTACCACCATTGACTTTAATTAACTGGACACTGGGTCTACATATGTGAACTCTCTGGGAAATTTATACATTTCAAAATATCTTATAACATTTTCATTAGATTTCAGAGCAAAACAATGTACGTTTCTGTTTTCCATGTTGATTGACTTGTTGGAATTAGAGTATATCTAACATTTTTACATTTATATTTTAATGTTAAACATTAAAACATATTTATATTTTCTCTCAATTTAAAAATGTTTACTGTGTACCTGTTGTTTGTTAAAGAGGTTGTAGACACCATGTGGAATAAATAAATGAAAATGAATAATAAACTTTCACTTTATGTATTCTCAATTTGCTGTAGTTAATTATTTAATCATAACTTTGACAAGCAGGGAAAATATAAAAATAAAACATACTCAAAATGTGGTGTTTGTTTCCAATGCAGTGTCGTCAAACATGACAAATACAAAAGCTTTCTCATGTTTATCATGCACCCGACATTTCCACCCAGAATGAAAAAGAGCTTCATTTAAACCAAAATGAAGGTTGCTATATAATTTATAAATGCTCACTTATATCATAAACATTTATTACTAAATCGCAAACAAGTAAATTGAATATTTAGATAATAATTTAGATCATTATAAAGGTAGTACAAAACACACATAACCCAATAAAAGAAAACAAGACAAACAGATGTCTTTTTATTATATATTTATGAATAGACTATAAAACAGATAAATTCATCATCACCTCTTATGTTAATGAATAAATTATGACAGTACTAATTTGTACTAATGTGACAAAAAAAAAATCAGACAGCAAAAAATCATGACACATATATTTATACAATTAGGTCAAGGAACAGATGATTGAGTGTGCACACTTATGAATATAATATAACAGAAGTACAGAAAATCACATGTACATTTTACAGAACAGACATTTAATAATATATATATGAATAAATCCAGACAAGGAACAGAAATCATAATAGTATTATGAATACATTAAGTAAAGGAACAGATAATCATCTGATGTACATAACATGACAAAATTAGAACTGAACGATCTCCTTACATATCATATTTACATATAAATGAAGAAAAGAAACAATACTGTGTACAATTTCCAAAAAAAAAATTAAAGAAAGGAACAGCTGATTACCTTTTTTTTTTATTGGCATCTTCGAAAATACTTACTGTACCTTAAATCACATCGTCATTTTAGTCTCCAAAGTGAAAGTTGATGACAATAGAAGTTCTAGTATTACAGTATATTTCATAACAGGCAACTCAAGATATTTATTTGCTTTTGCTTAGAAAATTTGTCTTATTTTATAAGCTTTCAAAGATTGTCTTTCAAAATTATTTCAGGCCAAAATATGTTATTTTCAGATAATAAAACCCAATTTATAGAATTAGAAGGAATATGTTAAAATTAGATAAGAAAGAAGGTTCTAATTCTCTTTAATCAGGAAATTGTTAAGTGCATACTATTGTATGTTAAAAATCTTTTATCTAGCCACATAAGAAGACTTAACAAGTACTGACCAATATTGCAGCCCATGAAATTAGGAAAAAATTAGGCCGGAAAAAAAAAAAAAAAAAAAATTTAAATTCTCCGAGGTTGGCAGCCTCCACAATTTTTTACTACCTAGGCCTATATAGTATAAACTAAAATTTTTCTGAACGCTCGACCTTACATCGTCATCTACAGATTGTGATTTTGTTATTGCTGGTGAAAGAATGGTCGTAGTTGTATTAATTTAATAGTGTAGTATAATATTATGTTTTACATAAGAAAATCGCCAAATAAATTTCGTTTTAGCATTCGTTTTATGGTTATCTTTGGCATGGGAACTTTCATAAAAGCTACGATCGTATCATCATCACAGCACCACAGGCTGCTTCAAAACTGCCTATGCACGTCCATGCGCATGCCCAGAATGATCTATCAGGGATTTTCCACACATGTACAGTAGGGAAGTCACGATGCGATCGTGATTGCGTTTAAACGGACGGTAGGATTAGGCCTACAATATGTTGAATATTGTTGTTTTTAGATAATAAACAACATTTTAAATGATAATAATATTGTAAAATGAAGACAAATAAGAGATTTAGATAAGCATTACGATATACGCGGCCCACCTGGCTTCAATTGGGCGATGTTGTAGGCCTTAGCTGGCTAGCGTCATTCCTAGGCCGGAGGAGATTGAAAGACAAGACGATTGTACACAAATCGTACGTATTGCATGCCTATTAGAAATAGTTATCTGTTTTATGAACCACCAATTTCCTTGGTTTGACGACGTACATGAAATTTAGCGTCTGCTATAGCCTGTTTCAGTAAAAGATTTTGACTTTCCAAGCAGTTTTTCAAGCGAAGAAATCTAGGCCTAGGTCGACAAAAAATAGCCGTCCTGTAGCAATTCTTGCTCGGCAATATGGTCGGCAATTGCCGATTGCCGACGTGAAATTCGTGGGCTGAATATTGTGTTTACTTGTGACCTCAATATTTAGGTAGTGAGGTCACTCACTCTTTGATCAGAATTAAGTTTTAAAATTAAAAAGACAAAGAATTTCTTCAAGCAGCACTTACGGCAATTCATTTGTGATGGAGTCAATGAGATGAGATTTTTGCCACGCAAATCCTTGGGGTGCTCGCATACTGCCGCCGACTGTGTATGGCCGTAGCGACCTGCTTCTTGCAACATTTGTACCAACCACATCAACTTACAATCACAGACAAGTCTGTTGGAATCCAGCCGTCTAATCAAAATTAACATCAGAATTAAAAACCAAGTACAAAATTTGTGAACTAACACTGTGGAAATATACCATAAATCTAACCTAATATAATTTCAGTGGTTCTGGAAGGGAAAAAACATAACAAATGTAGAATATAACATGCCAATGCAAATGAATGCAAAGTGTGTAAATAATACGCAAGTATAAATAATGAGCGACAGCAGGTTCGTGATGTTGAAGTGGTCTGAATGCAAGTTCACATAACACATGCAATTACAAATTTGCTACTAAATAACCAATACATAAACAACAAGAATCAAAGAAAACAAAAAAAAACCAAAAAAAAAAATCAAATGTATGATATTGATATAGAAGCATTGAATAAAGTGCAAAAAGCACATGCATGTTAATTTGAAGAAATGTTACAAATTCACAAGGCAAAACAAAATTATATACAGTACACAAAATTCAAAGGAATATGACAACCTGGATAAAAAGATCACTTGTTTATCTGTAGTAGTAGGTCAGTCAGGAAATATTTTGTTTAAAAATAATTTAACCTATAGTATCAGGTACACTATTGTTGTTACTATTTCTTATAATTACCTAAAGTATTATTCCTATATTTACAAGATTATTTGCATCTGATAAAGACTGTTCATATCCATGGAAGGTCATGCAAATACCAATAACTAGAGACTGACAACATATTAACAATAATACTAGTAATGAAAATAATAATAATAATAATAATAATAATAATAATAATAACAATAATAACAATAATAATAATAATAATAATAATATATCAGATTTAAAAGTGCTGAGGATTTCACTTGATTGACCCTAGAGTACACGACATTAGATTAATCTTTTAATATGAGCAATGGCATCAAATCTACCGGGTAGGTTAAATAAGTCTATAGACAAACAAAGGCCAAACTAAGTACAGTATAGTACCATTTTTGTATATTATCGTATTTATTCTAATTTTAGTCCACTTTAATTATTTTTCTTGACTTTTTAGTTCAAGATGAAAATGAAATTACCAATAATACTTTATCAGCTACGGCTATGTTCAGAAACAATGGGTTATGCTAGCGTGAAATTATTCAAGTGTAAACAAGTACGCCAGTATTACCGTAACGCGCAATCACTGGTGTATGATAATCTACCAACAGACCCCAGATTAGCATGCCACTGAATTTTGGCAGTCATTCATCAGTGATTTTGAACCCGGCCAGGATTTGACCAATCACAATAAGACTAGATGTAAATAGGAAATGAATGCGCGATTACAAATTTATATATATTTGTGCGAATACTTTTTTTGTTAGTGTTACGTTTGGACATCTCGCTAGTTACGCACTGCATTAACGTACGCCTGGCATATCTCGCTAGTTATGCACTGCATTAATGTACGCCTGGCGTATCTTGCTAGTTACGCACTGCATTAATGTACGCCTTGCATATCTCTCTAGTCTGAACGTAGTCTTTAGAAATCTTGAAATTCTAGAGCTCTGTCCACACTATCAAATTTTAAGCGACAATTTATGTGATGTTCCCATGGGCAAGATGATGTCATATATTACACCCAAACATGGACATATTGTATCCCATTTATTTGTCACATAAAATTTGATAGTGTGGACCAAACATAATAGATTTAAGTGATTCATTTTTTTTGTATTGTGTGATCTTCATCATTAGTATCTTCTGATATGAATTAATTAAAATTCTTATCAAAACTTCAAAGATGAACAAAAATATTGAAGAATATATCATGCTTCTTAAACCCTATAAAAAATGATGAGTGCATTTTTATAAATATAATAAACTACTCAAAATAATAAGACAACCATTTTCAAATATCATGTAAGAAGTAAGACGCATTTTACACATGCTATATAGGACATGCGCACTCTACAGTATACATGATAATGATGGAAGGAGAGATAACCAGAGAAAATGAAGAGTAATGAACAGAAAGCAACAAAAAATGAGGAAAAAGACTTACAATCGCTTAAGATTCCGTAGTCCTTTGAATGTGCCAAGTGGAATATGAGATATATTGTTGTTATTGAGGAACCTTTTTAAGAGTTACAAAAGAAAACTTGACTCTCACTCATAAGTACACATTAAACATATATTTTATAACTGTTATCACAAAGGTACTACTATCTATGCTGAGCTTTATAAACTTAAAAAATAAAAGTTAGTATGTATATATTGCTAAAAGGTTATTTGGTCTTTATTGAAACTTAGTATACCATTGTTCACAATACTGTTCCTTTTATTTTTTGAATAGAAACTGACTAGCTGCCAATTTAATCAGAAAACACTAACTTTCCATGTCTCAAATTGGAGAGCAAACTTTTTACTAACAAAGAAATAAAGAGTATTAGATAATTAATTAACATTGTTAGTTTGAAACATTTAATGAATATCTAGGACAAAACATTTGAATAAAACTGGGTTACTATGTCAACAAATGAATATTTAATTTTTAACTATTTCTTCATTCATTTAAAACTTAAATATTAAACTTTTATAAATTAAAATAATAATAATAATAAAACCATATTTCTATAGGGTACTGTACTGTACATCATATATATTCAATGTTGTTAAAATGTGTTAAGATAAAAACAACCCTATATTTCTTGCAAGCCCCTTATATAAGAGAGTATAGAATGGAGAGAGGTTTGACTCTCCATTTGCATGCACACAATGAAACTAAAAAGCAATATGACAACATGTTTGTTTCTTTTGAAGGATGCCCTCTATGTCATGGTAGTACTTTTTGAGATAGGATTGTTTCAAAGAAAATGAAAAGTCGGACCTCTTTCCATTATATACTCTCTGCTTATATTGGCTTATGATCAATTTAAAGATGTAGATAGAGTAAATGTATGTAAATAAGAAAAACTGTTTCAATATTTACGTCATTACATTTTTTTTAGGTCTTTCCACATATTAAACATCTTTAAAAAGCCCAACAATACTTATATTATTATAATAATGAAGGTTATGAATGTAATTGCTAGTTGCTAGACACTAGTTATTACAGTAATATACTCCACTCAAAGCTACTGGCATTATTATATAGTTACCAGGCAAGATCGTTTATACCTTGTTTACCAAATTATATTTTCAAAGATGTTCAAAATCCCATTGCCCGATTGTATAAAGAATGAAATGTTGCAATGTAAATACTGGATTAATAAATGCTTATATTTGATTAAAGAAATAGATTACTTATTAGGAGACATTATGACTGCAAGTTTAGTAAGAAAAAACTATTAACTTTTTTCACAGCAGTGCAAACCAAACATTTTAATCTTGTTTATCATCATCATTATTTTTAAGTATTGTAGTCAGTTTGTCAAACAAGGTATAATAAGTCTTGCTTCACCCTGAGTATAAATAGAGTTTCCACACCACTAGTGACTATTATATTAGCAAACTGAAAAAAAAATCCTGCCTCTCCCACCCTCACAAATCAATGGTTGTAACTTGTGGGTAGTATTTAATTCAACAATCCATTTAGTTTTTTTTTGAGAAATCAATGGTTTGGAACCTCTTCCTGACATCGCCCAATACAAGGTCAGACGCTAATGTATAGTTACTGTTGCATTAGTTTGGTAAAAATAAAATTATCAAAAAATGTTTTCAGAAACATCAAATATACACAAAGTGAGATGCAGAGGCACAAAGAAAGATCAATTATATTAAACTATTACAGAAAACTTTCTCTTTAATAGAAATGAGCACAAACATAGCTCATTTGATTACATTTTTACATTAACTTGCAAATTAAGTAATTTAATAGACTAATAAACCAGATTTGGTTGAATAATACATTTTCTTTGAAAAAGAGCTGAGTTTTTAAAGGAAAGATATTCTAATTTAAAGAATCCTCAAAGGGAAATCATGAGAAGCATTTACTGTAAATTAAATTTATGAAGGAAAAAAAATCTATTGAAAGTGTTCATTCATGGGGAAAAAATGATTAACAGCAAGGAAGAGAGGGAAATATGAGAAGACATTGTAGGCTGACTGACGACAAAACATACTAATGAAAATGTTGGAAGTTATCACTAGAAATTAACAAGTACAGTAATGCAACATTGAAAACGTTTTTAGCAATTAATATCAATATGAACGTTGATGCTATTTCCAAGGCTTCTATGAATCTTCTTTTTTTAGGAACTTGATAGAAATGACACCTTCCAGATAATAAACTGATATTATAATGATCTATTTACTATGTAAAATGTCATTAAAGGTAACCTTATCAAGCATAGGCTTCTCTAAATTATTAAAACCTAATATTCTACAGTCCTACATTTAGGAATGCTATATAGGTAGTAGGAGTTGCACAAAATTATTATTGCATAAGAAGCTGTCTCTCTAGACTTTGATGAGTAGCACTTGAGTATTTGGTAATGTGAAATAGGCTAAAACTACTATAGCAAGCACGCTAGTTAAGTGAGCTGTTGGCATAGTGTTTGAGCTGTTGATAATGGCATGGTGGAACAAGCTGTTGGCATAGTGAAACAAGCTGTTGGCATGGTGAAATAAGCTGTTGGCATAGTAAAGTAAGAAGTTGCTATGGTGAAGAAAGCAGATGACATTCTAGCTCTTGCCATCTTGAGACTATTGGCAAGGTGAAAGCATCCGTTAGCATGATGCAGCAAATTTTCAACATGGCAATACAGTAAGCAATTTTTTAAACAAAAAGTTTTTCCAACAATTGCTTTACAAAAATTACATTACAGTTGCTACTACACAATATTATGCGATAAACATAGATTTAGAACAAATATCAAACTGAACAATCTGCACAAAAGCATAAAACTATTCAGCAACAGAAACATAGCATATTAGTTAAGAAAAAAGCACACGACCAAGTTTATACTAATTTCTGATTAGATCCCGTATCATCCTTGAAAAGCAATTGCATATTCAAATCATTATTGTATTTTAAATGAATACCCTAGAAAAATGAATACTTTAGAAAAAAGAAACATATTTGTTTAATTATAGAAAAGATATCTACAACTTGCTATATAGTAGCCCAAGATTTTTATATTTCAATTTGTTTTGAGAAATTCAAATTTTGATTCTACAAATGTTCAATGTACATAAATGGAATATAGCGTATATTGTTACTTTTCATGTAATTATGATAATTAAAGGGAAATAATTTGGTTTCAATTATATGGATAATTTTTTTATGTTTTCTCTCTCATACAAACTGTGTAGCAAATAATTTTCAATTGACTGGATAGCTGTCATATACCATTGGTAATAACATCATCAGGTATTCAATGACTTCCTATGCCCTCCGGCAGTGGGAGGTGTTGTGGGCCCATGGCCAGGGGAAATTATGCGTATAAATTCTACTATTGTGCATGAAAAACTATCTAAAAACAGGAAGTAAAATATACTTACAGCCTCTCAAGAGCAGGCAAGTCATTGAATGTATCTTTGTGCATTGAAGTTAACATGTTGGAATAAAGGTAAAGCTGCTCCAGGTTCTGCAGACCAGAAAACGCTTTACTTTCCACCTCTGAGATGCGATTTTTATATAAATAACTGGACAAAAAAAGTTAAGATAATGAAAAAGAAATGATATTGTGATTTCTAATAAAGTTTAAAAAAATACAGATATACAAATACAGTAGAGCCCCTAATAAGGAGACACCTTGGGAACAAAAATTGTCCCTTAATAGGTGAGTCCCCTGAATGTGGGTTGGATAGTCTTAAGATTTTCATTCATTTTCTAGCTGTGTCCCCTTTAATAAGGTGTGTCCAAAAGGAGGGTTCTACTGTAATAGCCCTAATTACCTAAGATCTAATATAATAATTGACTTGAATTAAGAATTGAATTATTGTTCTATTTAATATTCATGCCAATACATGGAATTTGTGCATTCACACACAAGCAAGAAATATATCAGAAAAAATAACAAGTATGGTAATAAAATAACTTCTTATATTTAATACAATAACTTAAAAAGCATTCAATGCACCAGCTTTATTACTATTATTATATCATTATTGAAGTGAGAGTTCAAAGTCTTAATTAAATTGCAATAAGAGAATCCCCTAATACTCACAGGTATCGTAACTGGTGCAGCCCATCAAATGCGCCATTTTTTATTTTACGAATATCGTTATTACTTAATAAAAGTGTGTTCAGATCTCGTAGATTGCTAAAGGATCCTGCTGGAATTGCATCTATCCTATTGAAACGTAAATCACTGAAAGAACAAAAGACATAAACATATCAATGACTGTTATTTGGCACCTGAGATAAAGCTATAAAAAAAATGAGGTCAATATTATATGAAATTTTGTTGCATTAAATATAATGCATAAATCAACCAAGCCCTGCCTGACACTGTCCCAGTACAGTAGAACCTCGATTTTACGTACGGTACGGGACCAGAGGGCGTACGTAAATCGGGGGATTCGTAAAATAGAGGTTGGGTTAAAATTGTGGTAACCTTTGACCTAATATGTACGTAACGCTCAATAAACGTATGTACGAACAAACGATGATACCAAGGCTAGACCTAGCCTCTAGGCCTAGGCCTACGAATAAAACCATGTGTTTAGTGTTTTTATTCATCACTTTACGATGTCATAATAAAGTGTTCAAATCTGGGCCTGTTGAGACAAACTAAACCCATATGCGCTGCACTGGGCGAGCCAACCAATTAGCGTTCGTGTACGTGAAACAGCAACCATGTGCTATGCACTGGGCGAGCCAACCAATTAGCGTTCGTGTACGAAACTATGTCTACTCAGCTTCGTGTAGAAAATTCGACCAGAAAAGTTCTTCCATGGTTTGCCACACGAAGCTAAGGAGGAAAGCAATAATTTTGAGCACCATCGGTAGTTGTTCATCGCTCAGTTCACGTGGTTTTAGATTATAACAACCTGGTATTAGACTCAATCAACGTTGCTGTTTAATGAAAACTCGTTGCATTATGTTTTTTTTTATTGTTATAGTTTATTGTTATATTCTTTTTACTTATGGTTGCTCTCAAAAGGGCCGTTTGTTTTGAATATTTTCGGGGTTTTTGATGACGTCATTGTCCATACGAGGCGTACGTAAAACAGAGGGTTCGTATAACTGGGGTACGTAAAAAACGAGGTTCTACTGTACATGTATTTCTGAGTCGCCAAATCCTCCTTTACTACCATCCATCATCTCAACCAACTTTATCTGATCCCATCATCATCACTTCAAGACATTTTCACAGAATCACAATTGCAGGACCTCATCTTCTTTTACCACCATCATAATATAAACACTGACCTCAACCTCTCTCATGGCTTTCATTACCCACCTCATTTTCTTCACCATTACTGCCACATTAAACAAAATTAACAAGTTTTTTACAGTCACCTTCCAAAATTGCAAATTAATTCATTGACTATGTGGCCTAGGTCATTACAGTAGTTGCCAGACACATCTGTGAACCATATTTTTACTTGACTTTATTCATGTCGGGGAAAAATTTACGTTTTTACGTTCTAGTGCATTAAGTTCAATACCAAATTGTAAACGTAGTTTTTGGGCAACACCAGACTATATTCACTCAATATACCACCAGCCTATTGGATTGCGGAACTCCTGAATACGGGCCTGTGAGCATTTCAGATTAAAGAATTAAAAAAAAGGGGGGTATTTTTTTCTTTTTCTTGGGATCGTCCCACTTTTAATTTATTTACATATAAATGTATATACTGTATTGAAAAATAAACAATGATATAGGGAACATATAATTACTTAAAGTAACATTTTGTATGCGTTTATTTCTTAACGTTTTCCTTTCAATTTTATATTTTCATATATTTCTTTAACTTAGTTTTTCTTCATCGTTTTCCTTTCAATTTTATATTTTAATATATTTCTTTAACTTAGTTTTTCTTAATCGTTTTCCTTTCAATTTTATATTTTAATATATTTCTTTAACTTAGTTTTTCTTCATCGTTTTTCTCAATAACTAATACTTAAACTACGCTTTCAATACTAAAGGTAATTTAACTTACCTAATATTTACATAAAAAAATAAATAGCTCTTTATTTAAAGATCAAATTGTTATCATTAATTTTTCGATGCGTCCTGCATCGTTTTGCGTCTTCTCTGAGTTACTTTTCTTTTATTTTTCTTCTTCATTCTTTATTTGGCATTATTATATTCCGAAAAAAATAATCTACAGTATTCAACTACCTCACGAGAAAAAATTGCTCTCATCAAATAATTACATTGCCTTCGGTTTTGCGTTGTGCGCGAATAGATTATTTTGCTGCACGGAAAACACGCAGCTACAGATAACAATAATGGCAAAGTGCAATGATGCGTAACCACATAACACAACTCCACTGGCGCGCGGGCTTAGAGATATCAAGTTGATTAAAAATGTATAACTTTATATGGATTGTTTAAAAAAAAGACAAAAAATCAAAATATTAAAAGGAAGGGCCACCAAACATTTTTTAAGCGAAGGATAATTTATTTTGATATTAACTACCTTCATGTTAGGCGCAGTTTAATTATGCAAGATTAAAAAAAAAAATCATATTTAAAAGGGCACTTTCTTTAAAAAGGGGGGTCGACCGCACCCATCGACCCCCCCACGGTACGCCCCTGGTTATTTTTGTACGCGTGTCAAAAAATACTTAAATAGGCGTCCTGTCTTGATAGTAGTGCATACAGTCACACACATAAAGAGTCGTACAGTAAAGCATCCAGAGGACATGACAACAAATATAAAAACACAAGGTACAGTATGAAATTCATTAATTTTTTTTATTGAAAAAAAAATCAATAAAAAAAAAATCAAAAATACCCTATATATTGTATAGTAACTGTTAATCTGATTTGCTTGTGTTTTCTGTTTTCATGCATTTTTGGTTTTAGGCAAGATATCACATCACAAGACAAGTATATTATTTAAATTAATCATTGGATCATAAGATACAACCAGTACCTACAGATTTAGAAAGATTAATGCCAGTATTTAGCCATGTTATATAAGCCAATAATTGTTTACATTATAATTAATAATAATCTGCTATTTTCATTGTACACTTATTTGTTCGATAAAAAAATAATGTATTCTTGATTCTTGTCATTCCTATATTGCAAACATTCACGTCATAATAATAAAAAAACACTATCCATATTAGGTATTCCTATTCTTGTCGCTGTTTTTAAGGTTTCAGTATCTAGGATAGCTATCCTGTGCCTCCTTCGAGGTACCAACACTCACTTCAATCTGCAAAAAAATAAAAATAATAAAAAAATAAAACATTTGTGACAATTTTGCATTTCATTTCATTTATTTTGAAAGGTAGAAAGTAAAGTCAAATCCCCAGTGGCACCAAGAGTCCGGGCCATAAGGGGAAAGTGCCCCGGGTCAGACGGGTCTGTAACGCTAGTTAGCGCTAGGCAAAGAAATAGAAGTCCTTGAATCAGAAGGCTGTCTTTCAAGTTCAAATAAAGTGTGCAATGCAAGGCTACTTTAGGCGAAATATAATATTCCTGCCTTGATTGATACATGAATGGTCATACGATCAGACTATCCACTCGGAAAATGGGCATTATGGCTCATAATGGTGAGCAAGAGTTGACGTAAGGATTTTTCGACGTAGGCCTACGAGCCTAGGCCCTATGCCTATGTAGCCTAGCCTAGGCCTAACTCATCGCGTCTATATTGACTGAACAAAAAGATCGGCCTGTACGATGTTTTAAGCTCAATAAATATGTTCATAATTTGTAACAAATCGGTTTGTAACAAATCTGCCTTTCGGAAAATTCTGAAGAACGTTTTAAGTTTACTACCTATTCCAAATATAGTCAGGTTTCCTATAATAATTAATATAGGCCTAGGCGGCCTAGTAGTAGTAGGCCTAGCCTAAGACTTAGGCTAAGTACTACTTAGTTACTACATGGAGTTATAAAATAATTATAACTCCATGGTTACTACTACTAGGCCAGAAGTGACTCACCGTTTCATTGTCGTACAAAACTGCTCCTCTGCTGAGTTTATAGCACCATAGAATCGTTCATTAAACAATGGTCATCGCTTTCTTCAAATGTTTTGGCCCACAAACATCGGAGAACTGCATTAGAGTCGGTTCGACTTAATTGTCAACATTTTCACATGTTTAGAAATCGTTTGTTTTGCTGTCATGCTGGCTCTAGATAGCCTCGTTTTCAGTCGCGGTTACGATTGCTTCCGTGCGGAATTGCGTTTGTAAACTTCGAAACGCGTCAAAATCGACCTATAGTAACCACACAATTTTCGTACTTGAGCGGTTTTTTGCGTTGCTTGAGTCTAGAAAATGCGTCATATATCGTCATTTCGCGTTTTCAGACTAACAAAAAACACCAAAAAAACGAAATTTCGAAAAATAACAAATAACAAAAAAATCGACGCGGGCCCAAAAATCGATGCGCGCGGGGACGGGAAACAAGTAATTTTTGTTATTTGGCCTTACTGCCACATTAAACAAAATTAACAAGTTTTTTACAGTCACCTTCCAAAATTGCAAATTAATTCATTGACTAAGTGGCCTAGGTCATTACAGTAGTTGCCAGACACATCTGTGAACCATATTTTTACTTGACTTTATTCATGTCAATTCAAATATGTCAGTATGCAAATTAGTTATGAAGTAATAAACTTCAATGCAACTATATATTGTTATGGAAATATAGCTTCTCTTTAGATTTTTTATGGCTGCATACAGTACCTGATTATAAAGATATTTTAATTAATTATGCATTTAGTATTATTTTTATTAATTACAGGCAGACAATATATCATATCTTGTCTTGTACATATTAGATCTAGCACCACTTAGGTTGAAAATTACGCAGGCGCGTGCATACTACAGGTTAACCGTTTTCCATACATACAGCTCCAGAAAGCTTTTAAGTTTTAGCGCATGAATGATACTGAAGGTGCTATGTATTGTGGGACCTGTAAAATAATGTCACACAGCAAATCTAGTAGCTCACATTTCTAAAGCTAGTCCAGCATAAATCAAGTTTCATAAATCTGAGGCCATTTATGCATAAAATATCAATTCCTTCTGCAGTCAACCAAACTGACAAATCACCTTGACTTATTCTCCAAAAATTATTATCATTCCCTAGAGCTAAACTAAGAGGTTTTTGATTGCAGGTAAAATAGAACAAATCTAGTAGACATAGACCCAGCCTTCAG